CCCTGGGGCTGCATGTGGCTACCGAGGGTACCTGCGTGGGCAGCGCTGCGCCAGTGCCCCGGGGACTCGCAGGCCGCTCTAGGGTGGCTACTAAGACGTAAATGTCAAGATTGCTTAGAAATAAAGGTGGCACGGAGGTACGGGGGTGTGGTGCGGGGCTTTACCTGGGAGGGGGATCTCCACGAACTCTGTCCCTGTGAGCCGGGAGGCGGTCAGGCACACCTCCTGCCTCTGCACACCTACGATCAAGTGCTCCTGTGGTACTTCGTAAAGCCTTGTCTGACTCTACCACCCTTGGCAGCCCTTGTTCCTGAAATACCTTCCCGCTGGTCGAGTTTACTCCTATGCACTGAAAATAGTTCTGAAGAGCTAAATTCCATGTTGTTGCAGTATATATGGTATATGTTAATAATTTGTTTTCTTATTGTGTCTTGTAATATGAGAATTTTTATCTCTTAAAAGTTTTTTCTAATCTCTATGCTTGCTTACAAATAACCCAAAACTTTTATTTTTTGAGTCCTCCTCATTAAAGTGTATTTCTCAGTAAATGAACAAACATGAGGTTGAATGATTGCACACATTGGAGACTTAACTCTGAACTTTCTGAAACTGCCTGTACAAGTTCATCCTGTTTCCTGTTCAGGTTAATAATGATGGAGATCTTGAATGTTTCACTGAAACATATCACAATTCTGTAACTATGAGACAAATTCTAAAATACTCTTTCAGAAGTAACATACTTGCTGCCTCTGCATCATAATAATCTTTAATTGAATAGATTTCTGGTTTGTAGAACCCAGTGACAGTGGCTTGGCTTAAACTGGTCTTGATAAGCCCCCCAACATTAAATTCAGCTCTAGTCCTAAAATGTTCTAAATACATTACTGTTTGTAGGTCCCAAATTTACACTCAAATTTTGTTTATATTTATGAAGAGCTCCTGTGGTCAGCTCAGGATGTTGATTGGAGCATAAAAGGGAAGACACTTCTAAATGTTACTGTTTTCTATGTGAAACCAGGAACTATGTTTTTGGCGTTCGTTAATCTGTCAAATTGCGTCCTTCAGACTTAATACTACTTTTCTAGCAATTTGGAATAGAGTGAGTGAGTTAATATAATTGCTGTTTTCAGTGTTTACCAGAAAAAAGTAATTGCCTTAAAATATATGTATAATTGCTCAAAGGATTTCTGATTTAGTTCTGGAGTTTGTGCGAGATTGTAAAAATGTGTTGTCCCCATTGTTGACCACAGCTGTATTAAAAATGCAAAATTAAGGTTCTTGAGCAAATTAAGAGATCTCTTCTGTGTTCTTAACCCTGTTGTATGGAGTGGAAGCCCTAGTAATGAATCTGACATTTTCATATGTGTTCAGATTTGTGGATATTTTGAGTGCATGAGAAGAATAGTAAACAATGAAAGACTAAAGTACCAAACTAAAAGGGTGAAATATTAAAAATTGCGTAACTTTTGTGATTTTTGAGGTTAATTCATTCTTTACTGCCATGAGAAAAATAGTATTTATGGAGGTGATGCAGTGATGTAGAAAATTAAAGGAAACTCATACGTTTATAAAATTAATATTGATGTTAGGTTATTTAGCTATTCTAGCTACCGAGGAAACTAGAAGGTGAAAATAGTAATAGTAGGAGTAGCTATTCTAGCTACTAAGGTTGTTACCTCTTTAAAAGAGCTGACTGTAACTTACGTAAATAAGACTTCATCTTTTCATTATTCCAATGGAAAAGTAAAAACCTGCTGCCAAAATTTTCTTCTGGAGGTTTTTTAATTTTTGTTAAAGGTAGAATGTAGTCCAGCTTGCTCTGGCAACGCTTGTGCTGAAGGGTCTCACAGGCACGGAGTGCAGGCCAAGGGAATCGCTCCGGCAGTGGCAGCCTGCTCTTGTGTGCTGTCTTTCATGGCCCATGATACGTTGTGCTTGCTGGATGCGTGTGTTAAATAATACCAGGCTGCTCACTGCGGAGGAGTGGTGGTTGGCGGTAGTGTGTCACAGATGGAAGAGAGTGCACGCCAAGGCACACTGTTAGAAGAATTCACCTGAAACTGGCAGCTCACCAGCAAAGGCACTTTTGGTTGAACTGTCTGTGCCAGTGAGAGTTGGTCATGCGACGGCCATCAAATATGATCTTCCCTGCTTTGGAATGAGCTTGTAATATTAGAGCTTTGATGTTGGGGGAAGGAAATTCTTTGAGCTAAATTCTGAAATATTCCTGTATTTGGTGGTGGTGGTGGTGGTGATTTGTATTAAAGGATGTGTTTTTGCTCACCTGTAGAGAGTACTGCTATAACTAATTTCAAGATTTTCAGAATTCTGCATTTTAGGAATTATTTTGTCTTTTCTTTGCATTCCATTTTACTAAGAATATATGTAAATGGTGACTAACATTGTTGACTGACTGTTTTTTTAATCTGTATTAAATTACTCAGTATGGAAGATTATTCGAAGTAAAACTTTCATCTGTCTTCTCTTCTGGGAAATGACTCCTGAGGGAATATCTTAGCCTTGTCTTTAACTCTCTGTTTTCTAATGCTATGAGTGTACCTATGGATATTTAATTGTCGTAATAACTAGAATGTTTGTGTTAATGATCTTTTAACTGCATAGTAGTAATTGCATTCTTTTCTGCATGTGTGGCCTTTTTCTGGTTTTATAATTTGTGCATCTGTTAATTTTAGTAATTAGATCGAGTGGTGACATTAGATTTGAATTTGTTTTTATTTCAGGCTCATTTAACTGTTTCCCTGTAGTAAGCTTAATGAAAATGGAACCTCACACTAAATTTTAGTCATCAGTGCTCCATTTAATGCTTAGGTTCAATTACTTCATCAATATTTCTATGGGAAAAGTAAATTCGCATATTGAAGAAACTACTTTTCCTTAACCCAGATTAAACATTTTCTTGCGCGGGCAAATTTAGAGCAAGATGGATGTGTAGTACAAAAATACTAGTCCTGGTGGGTTTAGCAGCAAAAGTTTCACTACTATCGCGGAGTTTATATACATAGTTCTAAAGGAAACTAGGTTATCCTATGACATAAAATTGGTGGGCATATCTTGAGGTTTTTGATGGCAATACAGTATGAGAATTAAAGCTGTTATGATACTGTTCTTTTGTTCTACCCCCTTTTTTGTTGCAGCGTTCAAGTCATTCTTTCCTCCCCCCGCCCCCCAGCCTCTCATATCCCTACTTTCCTGCTTTTTGAATATATTACTGTGGTCAACTACTAACCCAACAGGAATGGATTTATTGGATGATTCTCTGCCAAAGCAGGTATTATGCAATATCATCAATCCTCAAAGCAGTTCTAGTGTTTTGGAAGGTCTGTTCTTTAGAAAGTGATACTCAGTGATTTTTATTTGTCTAAAAGCCTGTAGGATCTAGGTTTGGAGGGCTGATGTAAGTGCTTGCTCGAGGAATTCATGTTCATTTAAATGAGTTCATTATTGATAAGCTTTTGTGGGGTCAACTTTTAAATTAGTACAGGCATTAAAATGGTAGTACATTTGTAGCAAGAGGGAACGTTATGAGTTGTTGGATAAATATTTATCTCAAAAACCAGGCATCTATTTGAGAGTGATGCTCAGAGCTAGGAGTCGATGGCAGAGCTTTTGTCTTTAAGCAGTTGTCAAATAGGAAAATTCATAGGCAAAATATTTAGCAATGTTGAATTTATGGCAGAAACCACTGTAAGTGCAAAGATTTGCAACATGGCTATGCATATTTATAAGCGGTGTGGTTAAGGATGCAGGGTCATCCTTATCTTTGAATTTCTTCAGTTGATTGGATTATATTCAGTCTTACCTTCTTAAACTTGTCTCTGATACTCCAGAACGCCTGTACTAACTGCTGGTGAAGCTGTAAAATAAAGGATATGGCTCTTTAAAAGGTGGTTGTATTCCCAAGTTTGTCTGCCAGTAATTCTATTTTTTTTTTTCCTAAAAAGGAGTTATTCTTTATAAAAGCAGTCACAGTAAATTTTCTAGTTCTATGCAATTTTCTTTCCATTCTGGTTTTCAGTGGTTATAAATAACACATGAAATGACTTTCAAGGTAGAAAGCAGGAATCTATTTTGAAATATTCTATAAAATGAAGAGTGATTTATGGTTTCATATGATTTTGGCTGAAAGCACTCGGGCTTTGCCAGGTCATCAAAGTCCTGTCAGGAGAATCTATTATTTATTGTTCGATATGCTGGGAGTGGTGTAAGTACTTTATGTTTATCTTATGTAAGTATAGTGTTAGGAAAAATCACTTCCAGATACTAACACAATTTTTAAAATATACCGTGAAGAACTAACCTAAATACTATAGATGTGAATTATGAAGTTAACATTGAAGATTGATTTAAAAAAAAAAAATTGAAAAATGAGTAATTCCTAATGTTTTTATTGATGCAGGATATTTTTAGGATGTGCCTAAAATGTTTTCTAGTACATCTTCTGGGCTGATATTTTGGTTACGTTATCTTATATAAGTACAGAGTCTTCAGTTTACATCAGCAGCTATTACAACAAAAGCTAGATGGAAAACCAGCTGAAGATGGATATTTTTTGATGTCAGCGGTCATTGTGGACTAATACAGTGGCACTGGCTTGTAATGTTGATGTCTGGAAGAAGGAAATAGACCTATATTATTATTATCATTTGTAAATAAGTCATTACCTGTCCATGTAAATGTCAAACAAAATGAACACTGACTCATAGTTTTCTCCCCAACCCCCCTTTTATTTTTTTAGTATTCTCCAGGTGTAAACATAACTTTATCTTACTGGCTATTTTTTTTAACCTGACTAAAATTGAGGGATTGTTTTCTGGCATGCCTTCTATTCTGAATTTTTTTGTGTGGCAGAGGTGCTCTGAGAGCCTTCTTGGAGGCTTGAACTCCCACTGATATCTCAGATAGGATTCTTTTCCAGATACTGTGAAATGTCCCTCGCTGCTCTTGTAAGAAAACTCATTATTTTGTGAATCTTTTGTTGTCCTTCTCAGCCTGTTAGTGTTCTTCAGGTTTTCCAGATTATATTGCTGATCTTACAAAATAAAGAGAATGTGGTACTCCTGTGATTCTAGTGTGAAAAATAGAGAGTAGATCATCTGCATATCAAGGTGAAAAACTCCTTTAGAAAAAGCCTTAGCAAGGTACTTTGAAATTCTAGCCTGAATCTGGAATAATAGAAAAGACACGTTTGTC